CTGGCCCATGTTTGTATTGTGATCATTGCGCTCTTCCCGGATGAGGCAGATTGGTCACCGGCCTCTGGATGGCCGCTCACGCTGGCTGCCAGCCACACATGGTAGCTTATGGCAGCCCACTGCAGCAGGGGCTGCAGCCTACACCGTCGCCGGTGACTCACGGAAGCCCAGCTCCAGGTTGAGCTGTTGTTCACCATCTTACTGTAGAGGGCAGTGTCACTGGCCCTCACGTGGGATCCAAACCTGGGCTCTGTTGCTCAGAGCTGGCGTCCCAAGACAACTCTTAACCAACGCGCCTCTCAGCCCGCCCTGGGGTGATTTTTTACACAGCAATAGATAACTGAACAGTATACACACATGTGTGAATATATGGGTATACACACTCCTATCCACATAGACAGAAAAAGATAATCACCAAATGTTATCTCAAGAGGCAAGATTATGGGTGTTTTTTAGTTTTTATTCTTTATGTCTTTCTATACTTCCCAAATTTTCAAAAATGTCTAGATGCTGCTTTTCTTTTTACTGATTATTATTGGCATTTTCAAATGTAAACAAAAGTAGAAGCAATACTATAAGGAATCCCCATGAACTTATCATCCAGCTCAACAATTAGCAAACATTTTGCCATTCTTTATATATTACTTTTTTAAAAGAAACCCACAATAATTAATATTTTTATCTGTTCCTAAACAGAAAGGACTGATGTGCTCCTTGGATATCTAAACCAAGAGATGAAATTCAGATTATAAGCTAAAGAGTTTTTTTTTAAACAATAACAAAGCAGGGCCCTTACTGTTTCCCAGACCTTCCACCATGCAGGCCATGCTGGCAGTCTGGCAGATAAGAGTACTAACCCCTGACCTTCTACCAGTGTTGGGCCCCCAGAGTCATGGAGCTCTCTTTTGCCAAAAAGGAACTAAAAGAGATCCTCTGCTTCTTTTCCACCTTAAAAAGACACAACTTTTCAACTCTGGCACTCACATTCTATAATATTTCTAAAAGATCTCTCTATATTCTGTTGAGCTGCACTAAATGACCTTCAGAGATCAAGTAGCAAAGTCCTTTCAGAAATAGCCACATAATCCAAAGGGACATCAAAGAATGCAGCAGTTCTAAGCATTTTCTAGGTATGGAAGGCCAGGGTGACAAAAACAAGCCATACCCTGGGCTAACTATCCAAACTCTAAGAACAGAGTCGATTCTTGGGAAAAACTCTGAAGCAATCAATGACAGTTTTTCTGTTTTTTCTTTCATTCATTTGTTCATTCACTTGTCTAAATATTACTCAGCACCTATCCTACTCCAAGCACTGTGTTGGGCTAAGAAGAAAGAGACAGGCTGTACCCTCAAGAACCTTACGGACTGGCAGGGAGAGGCCAGTAAACAACCATGTGATGAATATTCTGATAAAGAAACACCTGGGTGGGGCTGGGGGAAGAGGTAATACCTGAGCTGAAAGGGTAGCGAGGAAAGAGAGGAGCAGGTACAGTGAGAAGCAGAAGGGCAGAGTACACTCAGAGAAGGACTGGCAGCTTAATTGGTCAGGGTGGAGTTGTGAAGGAATAGAAAGAGTGGTAACAGGAAAGGGTAGAGAAATAGGTAGGGACCAGCTCCGAAAGGAGTTTGTATGCCTCGCTAAAAATTTGGCTTCTATTCCAAAACTATGAAGAATCAGCCAAAATCTTTAGATCCACATGTTAAGACTCTAGCAGCAGATGGAGGTGGAGATGGAGAGCGCAGCACAAAAATAACTGGGAGGAGTTTGGTCTGCTTGGCCATTTTACTGCAAGGCAAGGCCAAAAAGAGGCCTGTGCAGTGATACTTCCCATTGCAATGTCCACACAGACGCCATCAGCTGAACACACAGTCCCTCAACCCCGAATGTGGCCTCAAAACCCTTCTAGGGGGACCGGCCAAGTGGCTCAGTTGGTTAAGAGCTCGCTCAAGAATGCGAGCTCTGAGCAACAGCGGTTTGATGCCTGGCCCGAGCTGAGCTGCCAACAGGTGGCAGGATGGCTCAGCTAAAAAAACAAAAAAAACAAAAAAAAACCCTTCTCGGGGGCCAGCCGAGTGGCGCATTGGTTAAGAGTTGGCTTGGGACACCAGCTCTGAGCAGCAGAGGCCCGGTTCAGATCCCACATTAGGGCCAGTGACGCTGCGCCCTCTACAGCTAAGATGGTGAACAACAGCCCAACCTGGAGCTGGGCTGCCGTGAGTCGCTGGCAACAGTGTAGGCTGCAGTGGGGCTGGACAACAGGGGATGTGAGCTTTTGTGAGCTGCCGTGAGCCACTGTGAGCAGCTGTCCAATGGCCGGCGAGTGACTGCCTCAGACGGAAAGAGCGCAATGATCACAATACAAACATGGGCCAGTGAATCGATGTCCTCCACAACTAGACTGAAGAACAAAAGAATAGCAACTTATCTGTTCCCCTTCCCTGATTCCCTAACCTGTTCCCCTCCCCCAACTCCCCAGTAAAATCTTAAACAAACAAACACACAAAACAAAACCCTTCTGGGTTCAGCACTCCAGACAGCTATCCCTCATCATTAGAGCTGGCCTGCAAGATCACACTTATTTGCTACCCGGGGCTAAACTGCAAGCCCTGTGAGAACAGCAGTTTTGTCTGCTTTGTATCCCAGCTCTATCCTTAGTGCTTAGCGCAATATCTGAGGCATAGCAGCTGCTCGATGAGTCTTTCTTAAATGGAACTGAATCTGCCTTTACTAATTCGTCAGCCTAACTCCCACCTCCCAGCACCCACTGTGGGTACCAGTGTCTCACACTGTTTAGCACTGGGATATATGATAAATACGTTCTTCATCTTTCCCAGTATCTTCTGAAGGTCCCACTTGGGTGACAGGCTGGCTAACTAATAAAATAAATGAATCTAAGTAAAGATAAGAAAGATATGAATAAGAGCTCATCACTTTCAGAGAACACCTGTATTTTCATAGCAGATGGAGGAATGGGCATTATACAGACTTTCTGATATCACTCGCGGGGACTGGGGGAAATACCTTTGACCTTTTTACAGTACCCTCTCTTCCAAATCCAAACACCAAAACCTCTTGGCATAGGCATTTTCTAAGAATCTTTCCAAAGCAAATGGGTCCAAGAATGTAAGCCAGGAAAGCCATCTACTAGGAAGTGCTTCATACCTGCTTGCGTTGCCTCTTCTGAGCATGCTGTAACCACAATTTGATACACTTACGTAGCAAACAGATTCTGAAATAAAGCACAGAACACCAAATAACCCATCACACTTTCAGGTTGTTCAGTTTTGTTTTGAAGGCGGGTAAATCTAGGTATAGTTACATCTTGAGTGTTAAAGGCACCCTATGGGTTTCATTCTAGGACAGAGGGAAATAAGAACCTGCTATCTAACATGAGATGCGTCAACTCTGATTTTGGGCTGTAGCTTGCCCCAAAATCTTGACAACTTTCTTGTAAACCTAACTAGACCATCAAGCACAATGTCTCTGAAACTTAGGTAATATGCATGAAACCCCCCAAATATCCTTATGGCTTTATGGCCAAACTCTGGGGCTGTTCACGACCACCCAGTCTGTGACATGCTCCTTTCACACTGATTTTGAGAGTGAAAATCACATTCAGTTTTGTCAGCCAGGATTTAGGACAATGGTCTGGTAACTCCAAGGTGAGTCAGTTAAATATTGGAATTCTCACTGACTCATTAAAAAATGCTCCAGAATTGGACCTATAACTGCAAATTAAATTGATTAAATTTTTGGGGGGAGGAGGGTATAGTGACCATTTCTAGCAACAAGAAAGTGAATAGTGGTTACCTCTGAAGAGTAAGACTAAGGGGTTGGAGGGAGGGACCCAGGCAACTTTTATTTTACTTTCTACCTTCCCTTTTTTTTTTTTTCCCTACCTTCCTTCTTATACATTAAGTATTCCTCATGGACATGTGGCACTTTTACGTATTTATTTTAACTGATTAGCTCTAAAAAATAAGGACATTCTCTGCATCCTTCAAGGCCAACCCATAAATATTCACCAGGCCTGAGCCTTCTCTTTAACAGTTATCAGTGTGTGAATCTGAAGATGTGACCATCACTAAGGCCTGAAGGACTGAGGCAGTGAGCTGGTGGGCCCATACTTCAAACTGTGGTGGCCAAGAACCAGTACAAACATCCTCATTTCACCTCTCCTCTGATCAGCCAAAAGGAAAACACAAGCTCAGGAACCACTGGTTTACAGCAGGGTCTTTCTGAATCTGGTGCAGTGAGTCAGGGAAGGGTAAGCGATTGCTCCTGGAGACCGGTGAGTCAGTGACACGGGTCTCTGCAGATCGTAAGAAGACCGGAGTCCCTACCTGTGATGCTCCCGGGCAGCACACAGTAAGGGGAGCTGCTCTCCTTCCTCCCTCTGCTCAACCCGAGACTGCCAGATGTTCCAGAACCTGAGCAGCAGCTGAAGCAACACAGGAGGGAAATGAGAGTTTATTAGGGCAAAAGGTAAAATACTCTCTCTTAACCTGTTAGCAAATCCCTACTCCAAAAGACTGTAAGCTCCCCAAAGCAGGAATTGCTGCAATTTGGAGACACAGACACAGAACAGGATGGCAAAATAATTATGGTTAAGCTACATGGAGCTATTCTGGCCAACATAACAAGCAAAATAAATCTTCCAGTCTATGAAAATCAGAAGCTATTCCTAAACTGTGCCTCATGGCAGACAATGCCATTTTAGAAATTAAAAGTGATCTTATCATATATTACTGCCTATGAAGTAGTCTTGCCAAAAAATGTTTAACTTCCATCTAATCAAGTCCTTAGATCTAACTTCTAGTTTAAAGGAGCTACGTAGAAAAAAGGAAAATCAAATGACATCAAAAGGAAACAAACAGGTAAATTGAGAATATGAAACATTATACAAAATAACTGAACTTCCTATTAAAAAAGTCAATGTGATTTTAAAAAAATTGTGTACATTATGCTAAGTGAAATAAGCCAGTCACAAAAGGGTTAACACTGTAAATGTGAGGTACCTACAGTAGTCAGATTCAAAGACAGAAAGGAGTTTGGGGGAAGGAGAATGGGGAGGTGCTGTTAAATGGTTATGGAGTTTCAGTTTGGAAAGAAGAAAAAAGTTCTGGAGATGGGTGTGGTGATGGTTGCACAATAATGTGAATGTACTTAATGTCACAGAACTGTACTCGTAAAAATGTTTAAGATGATAAATTCTGTTATGTGTATTTTACCCCAATTAAAAACCAAACATATTAAACAAAAGATGTGGGGGGGAAAGGGGGTTGTTATTAAGAAGTTTAAGATACATAACCAAATGTAGTGAGTAATCAATCCTTAATTGAATCTTGGTTTGGAAAAATAGGTTTAAAAGATTAATTTTGAAGGCAACAGTGGACATTTGAATATAGGCTGGGTACTGGATAATAGGGAACTGCTATTCATAATGATATTGTTAGTTATGTAAGAAAATGTTCTTCTTAGGTGATGCATGCTGAAATGTTTAGATGTCAGGTGTCATGATATCTGTAATTTACTTTGAAATGATTCAGAAAAGGAAGCAAATATTATCAATTGTTGAATTTAGATGGTAAGTATATAGCTGTTTATTATATTATTCTTTATATTTTTCTATGCTTTTGAGCATTTTCATATTTAAAAACAAAACAGGACAAAAAACCTGTCATCCTTCTACTCCCAGAAATACAATGTACAAGTAGAGACAAAATGTTTGTTCCCTTTGGGTATATCAACCCCTGAAGAGAATAGATTTACAGCGTAAACATAACAAAAGCCTCCTCGAGCATAGGCTTAAAGTGTATTCCCTAGGTCAGGATCAGAATCCACAATCCCTGGAGGGTTCTGGTCAAGATGACACAGTAGGTAAACACCATGCTTACCTTTTTTTATGACCACATCAAAATTACAACTAAACTACAACTGTCATTGAGAATTGCCTAAAATCTTGCTGAACCAAAGCCCTACAACTAAGGACATGCAGAAGAAGCCACCTCAAGACTGGTAAGAGGGGCAGAGATGCAGAAGGGGCTGGTCCCACACCTGCGTAGGACCATTAAAAACTGGGAGGGATATTTCGGCTGTGGAGGTCCTCCCCTAGAGGAATGAGAGGTCCCAGCCCCACCCCAGCTCAGGGTTCCAGTGCCAGGGAGAAAAGTCCCCATAATTTCTGGTTGTGAAAACCAGCGGATATTGTGACTGAGTGAGATGGAGGGTGGCTGGGGTCCCAGGTGCTTTTCTTTTTTTTTTTTTTTTTAAAAATTTAAGACTGTCATTTCTAAGTGTTGGTGAAGATATGGAGAAATCAGAATTGTTTTTTTTTGTTTGTTTTGTTTTGTTTTGTTTTTCTTAAAGATTTTTTTATTGGGGAATTGGGGGGATGGGAACAGTGCTGGGGAATTGGGGGAAGGGGAACAGACAAGTTGCTGTCGTTTTGTTCTTCA